TAAGTGGGGCGTGGCCCTTGCCAAAATTCTAGAGAGATGAACCTTTTAGGTTGGGGCGTGCCCCCCTAAGCTTACTAAAGAGAGAGCGAGAGAGAAATATTTAGAGAGATAAGAGAGATATTTGGTGTAGAGATTTATGGGTATGGGGTTCTCTATTTATAATACAAAAATAGGATTAGGGTTTTTTAGGATTTTCCATGGCTTGCCTCTTCTTGTGAGATTGAATATGCACCATTGATATTGGGAGATTTGTGGGGTAAGAGATTTGAGCCCTCAATTCTATAGATAAGTCATCAATATCATGTGGAAGGTGCTAAAATCTTTATCCCCATTTCCTAAACCATTTTCCCATCAATAGACATTCAATAAAGTAATTCCAATCATAATATTGTACTTTCCAAAATCCATTCAAAGCTTCCTCAAAGCAAAAAATTTCTAAAACATTATATAACTTTATCTTCAAGCCAAAACTTGATCTCACAAAAAAAAGAAAACTCCTTGGAGTGGAGTGTGCCACTCTAGGTGGCACTCATTGGCTCCACCCACATTGCAATGGTGGGCCTATATGCTTATTGGGCCTTCCATGTAAAAATAAATAAATTAAAATTATTTTATGATTTTTAAAAATTCATAAATTTCAATTTAAATAAAAATCAATCTAAAATAAATGTTTATATTTTTATAAATCCAAATTTGATAAATAAAATATCTAGAAATCTAGAAAAATTCAAATAAAAAAAATCTAAAAATTATATATCAATAAAACAAACATAATTAAATTCATTAGATGAAAAAATGATCTATATGTTCTACGAATTAAATAAATAAACATTGGGGCACTCCACCTTCAATTGTACACTACGGTCTACACTTACTTTCTCAAACCGACTCAGTGTTGCCCATGTCCCACAATCCATGCAAAAGCTCATTAGTGGGTCACCAAAGACTAGCCAATGGGTAAGGGATCGTAATCACAGTTTGTGGATTTTAAGTTCTCTCCTAGAGACATACCAATGTCACCTAGACCTGATGCGACCACATCTCATATGGCGTATAAGGGTATCTCTCGCATATGCATAAGCTTCATCTTGAAAGGTGGTTCACTTTCTCAAACAATTATCATATATGCATGACGTGTGATGGCACACAGATGAGATTTTGGCCCCCATCTCCGAAGGCCACCATCACACGCAATGGCCACACGGTCCCTTGGCTCACTCATCCAGACATATTCCGATTCATCAAGGGATGATCTATTAAAACCCATATCGGATAGTTTTCTATATCCAGATAACATAAGTATTTTTCAACCGACTGATCTAGTTCGTAAAGCTTAATTCGGTATCAACAAATGTTATTTGCTTAATATGGTCCACAAAGGACCACACTCCTATTAAATTCATGTTCTATTATATCAAAAAAGGACCACACTCCTATTAAATTCATGTTCTATTATATCAAAATATTTAGTACAAACACCAATAATATTTTTAATGACCACACTCGCCCCAACACCATCCCTAGACATATGTTAGGATATAGCATAGAATTCAAGCAATACTCTTTATGTTCTCCCAAGAAAGAGAGCAACAAGTATTTTCTAAGTAATGAGAGAGACACTAAATGCTGACATTCATGAGAGAGGGAAGCAACAACCCTTATCGTAAAGGGACTATACTTTTGTACAATGAGGCTGCGATATATTATGGTTGTTAGATGTGAATATGACAATTTGGGATGTGTCACAAAATTCAAAAGTTTTGTTTTAGATCTTGGAATTAGATCAATTGGAGAACTTCAGCTTTTTTATTTAACATCCAACGGCAAAAAGTTACTTCCAGCCTTTTTTGCATTAAAGGTAAATGGTCTTATTAATAATTTGGCTAAAAATTACTCTTAATTTGCTTTCAAGTGTTTATAGATTTTGATTCGTAGTCAATCTGGTTGCATTTTAGGCTCTTTGCACATGGTCCTGATTACCATGTTAATGTTAAAAAAAAAAACAAGAGAGAGAGAGGGTCCTAATCTTGTTTTCGGGTCCTTGTGGGGTTTGCTCAACTAATGAGGCAAAACTACAAGCTCTTAAACAAGGGGTTAGGAGCTTGCAAATGTGATCTCATGGTGCACTAATCACGCAAATCCGTTGGATGATGAAGGGATGTAATTGATGAGATTTTTCTAATTCTCTCATAAATAGAAAGAGATATTAAGAAGCCGGTACTTCGGCCAAACCGGGGAATCACTGAAAAATATTCCAGTAGGTAGCTTTGAGTCCAGCTTTACTACTCCCACTCCAAGAGAAGAGACTTAGGTCACTTCCCAAGGAGTTATTGGCATTGGAGATACCCCTTGGCAACCTTCCTCTCGTTCTCATGACTTCTCCCTTTCGGTTCTCTTTTTTCATTGGGAAAATATTTGATTACGGCTTATTTTTAGGTTTCCTTTCACAATAGAAATAAGATTTAAGAGATATCTTCTAACATAAAAATTGTATATTTATTTCTTCTAACCCCCTAAGCTACTTTAAACATGTTTTTTTTATATCAAACAAATCTAAAAAGGCATACCTTTTCTAAAAGCCATCCTCTCAAAGTTCTCTTTCTTTCTCTCCCCCACCCCTTTTCTCTCCGTCTTTCCTATCTCTAATCCCTCACTCTCTCTCCTCCTGCTCTCTCTCTTCATGTTTCCCATCTCTCTCCCGTTACTTTCTCTCCTCTCAAATATACAGAGAGAAAGAGAGGTGTTTGGATAAACACAACAAGAGATAGGTATTTAGTAGTGAGAGATTACCGTATGGAGAGAAAGATAGGTGTTTGGATAAACTCAGAAAGAGAGAGGTGAGGTGGTTGGTAGTGAAAGATTATCGGGAGGAGAGAGAAGTGTTTGGATAAACACACGAAGAGAGAGGTGTTTGGATAAACATAGAAAGAGAGAAGTGTTTAGATAAACATAGAAAGAGAGAGATGTTTGGTAGTGAGAGATTACCCGGAGGAGAGAGAGAAGTGTTTGGATAAATACAAGAAAAGAGAGGTGTTTGTATAAATACGGGAGGAGAGAGATGCTTGGTGATGAAAAGTTAGCGAGAGGGAAGAGAGAGGTGTTTTGATAAACACTGGAAGAGAGAGAAAAGTGTTTGGATAAATACATAAGAGAGAGATGTGTTTGGATAAACACGGGATGAAAGAGAGAGAGAGAGTGAAACAGGCATCAAGAGTGAAAAAGAGAAAAGTTTGGAGTATATAAGTAAAGAGAGAGAAGATATTGGGTTTAGAAAGAATATGTCTTTCTCATATTTGTTTAGGTTAAAAAATAGGTTTAAAGTGGCCAGGGATTTGGAAGATATTTTTTGAGACCTTAAGTTTATTAAGAAATTAAAATCGAAAAATAGGAGATATGGAGATATTTTCCCTTTTCCTTTTTGTTTTATCTAGTTTTGTTCTCTCTTTTCTCTTTTCGCTCTATGTCTACTTGTACATTCTCATTGAATAAATCCTTTTGTGGAGACTGATTATATATTATAACATCTATATATTATAAGATCGTTAGTTTTTTATACGACTCACCGTCATCCTTAGCCATCATATATAAAATTCGATAGTTTAAAATGTATCATATAGTTTGAGAAATTCAAGTTCAGACTTTATGTCTAGTCCTTGCTTTACTTCACGGGCAAGGTCTCTGGTTCAAGTCCAGGATGGCCCAGCTGCACCATGGAACCTGATTTCACATCTACCGATTAATAATGACAGTGACTTCCATGTACCAAAAACAAATAGTCTCATTATAAATATTTTCTTAACAATATTATTTAATTAACAAAATAAATTCCTTTAAAAATTAAAAACCAAGAGAGAGACCATTGCTACAAATGAAAGGGCTCCATCATGGTGAGAGAGATATTTGTGTATACATTGAAATGAATTGCCCAGCTGCGCCATGGAACCTAATTTCACATCTACCGATTAATAATTACAACGACTTTCATGTACCAAAAACAAAGAGTTTTATTATAAATATTTTCTTAAAAAGATAATTTAATTAACAATATAAATTTTTTAAAAAATTCAAAAACAAGAGAGATACCATTGCTACAAATGAAAGGGCTTCATCATGGTGAGAGACGGATATTGGTGTGCACCGTTAAAAAAAAGAGAGATATCGGCGTGCATCTGGGAAGGGAAAAATTTATATAGAGTCGAGGCTCTAAACAATCAAATTAGAGCTTACTTTAAAATTTTCACTAGAAGAGGTTGTTTTGATGCTCAAATATATTCAAATTGATCATCTCGACATCAAGATGCATGGATATAAAAAAACTATAGATTTCAAATTTTGGAAATAGTGCATTTTGTAACAAATTTTTGGACTATAAATTTTTAAGATTTATAAGTTTTCATAGATTTATCAATCTACACTATTTTTAAAGTTTTAAATTTTATAAATAAATATAAAAATATATTTTAAAACTATCACAAAAATTTCCTATATTAAAACCACATTTCTCACACTATTTGAACGTAGGCTCTATAATTTGATTGTTTAGAGCCTATGCTCGGTACAAACCGCACTCGAGATGAGAAAGGCGCTAATACCGTAATTTTGGTGTTCTCCCGGGCGTTTCCCTGGTTCCCCATGCGCCAGAGGGTAATTTCGTAACTTTGTCTCTCATATAATTTACAGTTTTTAACGCATATTTTCGCGCGTTTTAACAAATGAATGTTGGTCTCGTATCGAAATAAATAACCATGAAGGATGTTTTCCTGGCCCTTTAATCGCTGCCATTTCTTTAAACTTAAAACCTCAAATCCTGGGGGAAAAAAAAAAAGCAGACATTGTACCCTAGATTATGCAGAGATATCAGGAAATCATTCAAATCGCATTTTGATTCTTTCGTCTCCGGGTCTGATTTGATTGGAATCAAGAGAAACACAGAGTTCTGGTAAGATTTCTGTGATCATTCTTTTGTTTGATTCTATGGATTTTTTCGTGGAAACAAAGGGAATACATGAATTTAGTATGGTAACATTGGTTTCCTTTTCAATGGCTTCTATTACTGTAATTTCTGTGGATTTTTTGCTGAATTCTTTGAACGAGGTCTTGATTTCACGAGCTCAGCCGTAGATCTAATGGATCTCTTGTACTGATGAAATGAGAGAAATGGAAAGCTTGTGAAAATGGCATGTCCTTTGCTCCAAATGAGAGTAATTCCACCTTTTCTTCTTCTGATCTCTCATATGATTTTAGGGGAAATAGTTGCAGAGTTTTGATGGGAATGTCTGTTTCGTAAAGTACCGACTGAACTGGATCTGGCTCTGTAAAGACTGCATTATCAAATCAAAGAGAAAGCTTTAGTTTTCTTTGAAGGTTTTAGTGAAGAAAAATGTTGAATACAATAGAGATGGCAAAGGGCATCAGGAAAGCACGCTTCAAGCTCTAACTTTGTTAAATTTATTCGGTTTTTGCAAGGTTAGAAAAGAAGCTTGATTTGATAATGAAAAATACTGCATGATCAAACCAGAGAGAGAACTTTAGGTTATGGAGAGAAGGAAAATCTCTAACACACTGGAACTTTAGGTTAATTTTTGTGACATTGTAATACAATAATTTATATCTATAAAGTTAACCTTTTCCTCAAAAAAAAATAAATACTCAACACAGTGGAAACTAAAGTTTAGGAAAAATATTTTAGGAAGAACTAGCTTTAAGTATAATCGTTTAACTCAATAGATTTTATAAAAAGATGCTTGATGAGAGTAAGACGCACAACCTGAGGTATCATGATGGGTTTAAGACAGTAAAAAATCTATAATAGAATGTAGATTTATTTAAAATGCTTTAGAAAGGAAATGAAGCTTTATGAGAAAAAAAAATGATATATAAAGTGCAATATGTACTGTTCAGGCAGAAAAGCAGCTTTATCTAAGTAGGGTTAGGGTTTTCCAAAGGCTCAATGAAGTAAGAAACTGGAAATTTAGGGATCTTCAATGATACTCTCAAGAATGGAATCCCTAGTTCAGTATAGTTCGGGGTTTTAAATAGGATTCAGTAAGAAAATAAAAAGAGAGGAAGTTTAGGGTTACCTCACTAGCTTTAGCAGTAAAAGAAGCATAAGCAGTAGTTTGATGCTATTTTAAGGTTTCAGGCTAGGTTTAGAGTTTAGACCATATTTGTAGGTCACAAGCTCTTTGAAGTTGTATAAAATGGAGGAAAACTTTTCCAGGGTAAGATTCACGGTCTCTAGTCTCTGAAATGTGTTTTTTTTCTTTTTTTCTTCTGAAATCTGGATTAAAAAATAAGGATTTCCTCCATGTTTTAGGTTCCTTAAAGCTTTCTATATTTGAAGGTTTTCAAGATTACTAGGTCAAAGGTGCTAACAATGATAGAAGGCTTTCAAAAGGTCCAAGCTTCCTAGTTCTGTAATGTTTCGTCAATGGAAAAATACCCAAAAACTCTTTGAAATTTCAAACCATGATTTCACCAAGGTTTTCATTGCAGTTTCTTTTGCTTACAAGGAAAGCTTGGAAACATACAGGCAGCCATTAGTTGTTGCTTCTCCTCTCTGTGCACAGGCTGTTGCTTCTCCACACTCACTCTTCTTCTCTTCTGTCTCTCTCTAGCCTTGTGATTTTGAAACCAATAGAACACATTCTTGCTCTCTATCTTTCCATAGAAGCTCAACTGAGATGAGATCCTCTGAATTTGCTCAGCAGTTGGGGTCCTAAGCCCTGCTCTGAACAAATCAGTCAGGACCCTAACTTGCTCAGTAGTAGGATTCCATCTCCCACATTTTACACCCCCCTTAATACAAAACTCTGACAAACCCTCTTCCATATTTGTTTGCTCTCTCTATATCTCTCTGTGCAAAGAACCCACTGTAAAAAGCTCCTGTTCTTTGCAGAGAGAGCGCATATGATCACTGAATCATGAATCTTTCAGGCTCTGTATTGGTATATAAATATGTGGTTTATGAGCTTTTGGTGTCTTTTTGTGCTGGTGGTCCTTTGTTTATTGGGGCGTTGGATTTAAGGCAAGAAAGGCTTGACTGTGGACTCCCCCTGTCTGGTTATCTGAGCTTGGTTTTTTGTGTGTACAGAGAGAGGGAACATACTGAAAGACAAGCCAGTTCAGCATTTGGGGAAGAGAGCTTGCGGATTCTCTCTTTAATAAGGTAAGGCTTTTCGATCTTGGCCAAGCTTGACAAGGCCTATGAATTTGAAGTTAAAATATAGAAGGGTAGATGATTGAACAACTGTGATGTTTTGATGTAATGACAAGAAAACCTTAAAAAGCAGAAGACTGGAATCAGGTTCAAAATAACAAGGATTAGAACAAACTTTGCAGTTAAGGAACTAAAATACTATAAGAATATGGTATATAAGCTAAGATACTACATTAGTGTATTCCTCAGTGGAATGTCTCATAAATGAACCAAAATAAAGTTGGTTGGTTTATGGAAAGCAGTTTATTCTTTTTCATTTTTCAAATAAGGACTACTTAGCATTGCTTTTTCTTTCTACAAAACCCCTATTCTAGGTGAAATTTATTCCAAAACAATGAACTAAAATGGTTAACAAATAACCCACTTCTATCACAATTTGCAGGGTTTTCTTCTATCAATTTCCCATTGTTGACTCTGACCAATGAATTGCTCGTCAAATTCTTGCATTTCTCAAAGTTTTAAATCGCAAATTTGGTAATGAATGAACTGATATGGACTGAAAAACTGACGATGTCTTTAATTTCTTATTTCTTCAACAATGCAAGTTCCTTTCCTTTCTACAAAGCCCGTTTACAACCAAAATTCAGTCCAAACCTTCAAATTTAAAGGAGTAAACAAAACACCCATTTTCTAAAAGGAAATCAATTGCCATTTTCTAAGGTTTCGAGGCAACTCGGACAAATGTGGGCCAAAACTTATCTGCTGTGTTCAGCAAAAGCTGTCCGTTCCAATTGCGTCCCATCATGCAATCAGGGCCGTCTGGCCCACACTGTTTCATAGGATCCTTGGTCCTATAAGAGAAAGATGTTCCCCTCTAAGATTTCTCAAGGTTGGGTTCTCTTGTCATTTTAAAAAAAGCTTTGGGGTGGTCTCATTAAATCTTTTCCCTTATATTAATCTCCCAAACCCTCAAGGCACTTGCCAATTATTTATTGATTATGCTTGTCTAATTCGGTTTTCAGCACACTCTATTTTTGTCTCTGCAATTTCCAAGACTAATTCGGTTCTAAACTAAGCACCCAACCCACCTTTTGCCCTGCTTATGTTCCCGAGTTCCCTTGGGCCTGTCTCTAACGTCATTAAACAAAAGTTCAGATGTCTCTTTCTTTCTCTCAACAGCACTTTTAGATGTCACTTTCCCTCTCTAACCGCATGCCTTCTGATTAGGAAAACAAGATAAAAAAGAACCGAGATTCCTTCTTGTTTTTGTTGTTATTTAAGCTTGGTTTTAGAAAAGGATGAACATGCCTTGGTGTCGTGTTGGGAAATTCTCTATTTATGGAGCCCAAGAAAGATGGGGCTTGGGCAAATCTAACGGGCACCAAGTTTGAAATGCAGAGGGCTAAAAAAAACTGACCATGAACTTGACTCCAAAGTAGTAATGTTTAATGGACAAGATGTGGTTTTTTTGCTTATGTCGATACACTATGGGCAGTGATAGTCATGTCTTATATTTTAGAAACTTAGACATCTTGTTGGAATCCTTTTATATTGAAATCGTGCTATAAAAGTACTTAATGTCACCTAAAATCTCACTTCGCCTTTTTTTTTGAAATGTTGTATAGATGTGTCGTGTCTGAAAGGTCAATTTTGAAATTGACGTTTCTGACACTTGTTTCTGTGTTAGATATTTACATTTGTATCCATTTTTAGGAAACACATTTTTATAGTTGTGTCACAAAGATATGAATATAAGTGCGTATTTGACACGGATACAAGCGTTCAAAACGTCAATATTAAAATTGATTTTTCAAACGCAACATGTCTCTACAACATTTAGATAAATGAGGAGGTGGTGTTTTAGGTGTCATTAAAGTACTTTTATGGCAGATCTCATCAGAAAAGTTAACAAGAAGTGTCTAAGTTTTTTTTAGGAAGTGTTAGATATGAGTGTCATATCCTTGTCGATATTTGCTAAAAACTATTGACGCATATGCCTACATTATAAAGAAATGTCGATGTGTTAAATATTTGACACATAATTGTTAGAGATGTCAATATTAAAATTAGCCTTCCAAACACATGTTTGCATATTTGTATTAGTTAAAATTAAAGTCCTTTTATAATAGTTCTTCAAGAGTAAAGTTTAACCAAAAACTGACTGGATTTACCAAGTCCACGGCATTTCTTTAGTGTGTCTACAATGACTACGAAAGTAATAGGAGTATCCGTGGACAAAAAAGATCTCTATGGCTATTGAGAAAGAATCAAATCAGATAGTTCTATTTCTCAATGTTTCTATAGTTCTATTTCTCAATCTTTCTGACTTGTGCTCCTATGGAACGTGAGCCAAAAATATTGAAAAAAAATTCAGTCATTCATTCTTTAAAACCAGTATCCATGTTATGTGATTTTACAATATCGCATATGTGAAATTTAAACCTAATATTTCTTGAGCTTGTGTGAACTGGACAAGATTATTGGTGACAGGACAGTTTGGTGGAAAACTCAACTGAATTTAAGACAAACAAATCGCCCAGATCTAAGAAAACTCTCTCTCTCTCTCCCTTGTGCATGACCTTGAAGTTTCTCACACTACCCCCTCTCTCTCGAAGAAACGGCCAACTGAGTGAAATATTAATGCGGAAGGCCTCAAAAGAATACGGTGTGTCGTTTATGTTTGTTTGTGGGTGAATGACAAATGAACATTTCTTAAAATACTCTCTGCATGGCAATGAAAGCATTTTTTTAAGAAACCATCTCTCTATAACTTCCTCTATTTCTCTCTTTTTTCCATGCATCGATGGTCCCGGCCATGAGGGGAGTTTCCATCTTTCCAAGACGGCGGCTGCAAAATCCAACACCAAGAAAACCCTAATTTAAAGGCACGCGTGACTTCAAGGTGTCTCAAGGTTTTGTCCTCTCTCTCTCTTTCTTTTTTCTTGGGCTTATGCTCTTTCTAATACTACTAATTTTAGATAAAAGGAAATGTTTTAGATCTGACTCTCTTCCTAATTCTTTCTTCCGGGCGGCTGATGCTCTTTTCTTTTGCTACAAAATTTCAATGTGGTTTGATAGGGCTGCAGCTTTATATCAAAATAAGTAAAGTTTCACCTCATAACCAAGCGAAAGTTAGAAAACCTTTATATCAATCATCTCGGCTTTAAAATTATGGTTGTGAAAAAAAATTAGTACTTTAAGCTCTAAAAATAATGTATGTTTTAACAAGTTGTCTAGATTGTCTACTTTGCCTTAAAAATAAGTGTTCAAAGATCCACACGATGTGTACATTTTTTTAGTTTAAAATTTTATTGTTGAGGTTGGAAAAATGCTTTCTAGACGAGGATTTTGAGGTGAGGTTTTATTTGGTTTACATAAATCCTAAGCCTTATAGAAATTTCTTCCAATTTAGATTAGGTGCTCACTGCTCTTTCTGTAACCCTAAAGAGCGCCCCAGCCAATCTCATGGGCGCATGCTATATATTTCCTCCCTCAAGCAATAGACTAATAAAAAGATTTGCTGGTCCCTTGTGAGCATTTTGTGCATCTGCTCCCTTGGGTAAACCTCTTGTTATAAATTTTTTTTGGACCAATTTCGAAGGAAAAAGAGTTAAATAGGATGCCTCAAAAAAAAAAAATCCTAAGATGGAACAAAGGTATCTAATTTTGCAGGGCAAGATCTGGGTTTTCAAGAACTTGAGACTTTTTTTTTCATATAAATAATCATGTGATGACATGCAGATAAATATCAAAACATGGGATGGAAAATTTTCTTAAATTACTTCTTTGCCCTCGGAAGTTGGTTGTATGGTATGCTCGCACCGGAACATGGTATTTTTGCACATACATTTAATGCATCAGGCCAAAGACCATTAAGATCTTTTATCTGAAAATTTCAAATGGACTTTGGAGTCACTAGGTGTAATTTTTCATGAGAAAAGAGAGGATTTTTAATTGAAGATTACATTATTAGAATAATCCAGAAGTCTGTTCAATATTAGGATGTTTTTTTTTCAAGCAGATGTGAACTGCACATATGAATTTCTTCTTTTTTATATTTGAATTTTTTAAGTTGATAGATAAATTGATGCAAGGGGTGACTTGCCCAAAAATTTGAGGTCGTAACTCTTAATGTACTCCTAGATAGGGCTTTACCGACGGACTAAGGGCACATTGTGCTCCAATTGGAGCAGATTAATCTTTTGGGCACTCTTAAAATTTAGAGGCATGTGCACTTGGTCACTACAAATCACGAGAACCGAAAACTAGTGCGCGTGCCCCTATTGCCCGGAGGCTATGTATTATTGCCTCCATACTGTTTCATGTATTTAATGAGGTTTTTGCTTTTTTTATTCTAAGAGAGTTTTTAACTTGATATTTAGCAATAATGTAGTTTTCACTAACATATCCCATAAATTTAGGCAAATTTCTGGTCAAGTGGGGGTCCAATTAGAGATGTAATGATAATAATAGTAATTTTTGTAATAATTGGGGTTATATTTTTCTCAAGACTGAAAAAAATATTAGGGAGGAAAACTACTATGATCAATGACCATAAAGCAGGCAAGGATGTGTGTCATCATTGCTTAATCAATTGTTTCAACGGTGATGAGAGTGACAATTGAATTGCATTTACACGTGAATTGAATTTATGAATTAAAAGGAAAAACCAAATTGCTCTCAAATTAGCCCATATCCAATTTGGGTCGATGTATTCATGAGTCATATGGTATGGACACTACGTTTTTTGAAAAAAAAAATATATATGAAACATAGTATGGACGCTATTTTTTAACCCTTTTCAAGCTAAGAAAAGAAAGTGGATTGTGTCAGTAGACGGTCAATATAAAATTTTTATCTTATCAAAACCTTTTATGAATTTTGAATTTATGCTATTTAATGATGATTTAAAAATGATGATTTAAAAGGGGGGGGGGAAAGGAGTAGGTGGTAGTAGGTCGTCAACGAGTGGTTAGTGAATCTAGGACTTCAAGAAAAAGTAGACCGTAACTGTGATTTGGTGTCTCTTAGATGTACAACATGTACCATGTTGCGGTTTATATCATGGGCCCAGCGTGTACCCTACTATGGTGTACATCACGTAAGTGGGGGATGTGCATTGTGTATATCAACTTCACGTAAGTCGGGGATGTGCATTATGTATATCAATTTTGGACATTGAAACTTTGAAGTCGACTAAAACCAATTGAAGTTAGATATTCGGCAACTTACTATCTTCAAGCTTTGAAGTTGATATTCAGAATAACTTATTATTTTCAAGGCCTGTAGTAGGGGCAATTTGGTGAAAAATAAGAAAACAGAAAAGTGGTTTCAACCAAATAAAAATAAAAATTTTGATGGGATTTTAAATATCAATAGTTCTACAGGATATGTGCATAAATTACCCTCAAATATATCGTAATGTAAAGCTTATTTTTTTATTGATAATGGTTTATGTTTAAACACATATATCTAAGGAGAAATATATAATAAGACTTCATTTTTTGTGCGAGGTAGTCACAATGAATTCGTCATTGGATGTGAAATGGTGTGGTTGGGGATGTTCCATTGATTCGGCTTAAAGCTTAAAAATAATGATTTTTTTAACTTTGTGACGCACTTCAAGTTGTCATATTTCGCATATGATGGCTATTGATAATTTTAACATTGTACAAAATGATATATTATCATATAGTATACAAGCCTTTTAATAAGGGATTATATAATATAAAATTGTATATTTTTTTGTATAAAGGTGTAATTGAGTTTAGCTGTCAAATGTGAAATCTGGCAATTTGGGATGAGTCAATGGGTTTGAAAATTTTGTTTTTGGATTTTGAGCCCGATCAATGACACAATTCTAATTGCGTCTTTTCATATCCATGGACCGAAAGTGTGAGTTTTTTGTGCAAAAAGAGAACAGTCTTCTTACACATTTATCCTTATAATAATGTGCATATATAGTCTGGATATGGTTTATTGATCCTTGATTGGACAACCTTGAAACCCCTAAAAAGTCCTACCCAATTGAAATAATGGTGGTTCCTTCTTTTTGTCATGAAGATAAGGCTTACTTTGAGACTACATGTAATTAAAGTATATGAGGAGAATGTTTTGTTAATTTATTCGATTTTTGTTTCAAAACAAAATTTAATTTGTATCCTTGACCACTAGAATCTTTGTGGTCCTTATGGATCCTATGTGCATATAAGCAAGTAACATTTGATTCACTGGCTAAACTGAGTTGGCAAGAACAGCGAGTTGCATTAAATGTTTTTGATCTTGCTATCAAATTGATTAAGTGGCCAATGGACCTTAATTTGAGCCGGTTAAAGGTTGATCCTTTCCAAAATTATGGACCTAAAAAATGAGTGCCATGGATTCCCCTGTTTTTGTTACTTATACATCAAAATTTTCTAGTGAGTGAAAACGGCGTCTCTCATTTCCTCTTAAAATATTCTATGTGAAAATTAAAATGAGCTCTATATGTTAAGGCTTGTTACTCACCCCCATTAACTGTTATCTGTAGTAGAAAAATGCACGTGCACATAGTCTTGAGCGTTTAATTTGCTAAAATAAACATTATCTTACTTTATCGTAGATCTCTCCTGTTGATTTACTATGGATCTAGATTTATGATTGACTCATTTTCTACTTTCATCTTTGGCCTCTCTTCAGAAAACTTTTTTGTATTGGTGTTTTACATCGTTTAATTATCATTCATCTCTCGTACTTTCTCTTCTCACACCCCATAAAATTTTTGATGTCGAATATCCTATATCTCTTAGTTCTTATATTTAAAATACAAGCTATCGAGAATACCAAAAGTCATATTCTACTCTCTCTTTCTTTCTTGGGTAATATGTATGTAAATATATTAACTCTTCCTTGTTTTTGGTTAATATGCGTGCAAATATATTTACTCTTACTCCCTCCCTCTTATGTTTCTCTATTTTCTTTCTCTTAAAAAATTTTACTTATAAAGTTTTTTTATTCTAATTATCATTTATATCCTTAAGAAATAAACTACTGGTTATTTGATAAAAAATCTAAGGTAATTATTACCCATTGTTTTTACAATTCGTTGGTTATTACTTTCCTACCTAACCACTTTACACATTCGTTGAATTAATTGTATTAACAATGTGTAATAGCTAGTTTAGATTTTTTACTAAATAGCTATAGTTACAAAAGGAGAGTAGAGCCTTTTTTTTATTTCTTAAAATTACTGATGATAATTATAAGAAATTTATTTTATAAATTATTATTTTAAAAAATAATTTCTTGAAAAGGAGAATAGAGAAACATGGTTGGGGGAGAGAGATAAAGAAGAGTTAATATGTTTGTACGCACATGGCTTAAGAGAGCGTGTGTTTAGGAGATGAGTTTTGGCATCCCCATAGTTTACGTTGTAAATATATGAGAAGAGTTTTTAATACTAGTAAGTTTATGGGTGTATGAGGAGAAAGATGAAAGTTAATTAAACGAGGTAAAATTGGTACAGAAGAGTATGTTGAAGAAAGAAGTCAAACGGTGATTAGTAGAAAATGAGTCAACCAGTGCATATGGATTACCTAATAAATTTACAACAGAAGTATACTGTAAGGTAATATAATCTTTATTTTTTCTCAACCCATAATTTTATTTTGGTAAATTAAATGCTTGAGACTATATAACTCTTTTATAATACTTTTTGTTTATTCAACGCATTGAACGAATTTCCATTTTGCTAATAGTATGGAAGCTGGCAATACTCATGGGAAAATTGTTTCATGCGGGTTGGACTGCATTCTACATATGCGGTTTAGAAAGTGTAAACCTTGCATCTTAAAGATGTTGCAAGTACGTGTTCCATCTGAAAAGATTGGAAACTAACGGTCCAAATGTTTTCCTAAGAGAATTATTATTATAAATTTTTTTATTTTTTCATCTTCATTATTTCCATGTTAACGATTGCATGTCTTTAAAAATTAAGTCTTGAAATCCATCTCAAAAATAGATTTATTAAGAGGCCCGCATTTCTATATATGCAGGCTTGGCAGCATAGAAACCGGGTCCATACCAATACACCTCTATGAAAGAAGGCACCAAAACGTGGTGAAAAGTTTGCATGGTGAACCACCACAAACGTGTTATCTGTGGAACGTTTATATTTGGAATGAGTTTATGGTGTAAGAGCAAACTAGCCATTAAAAAATATTAGGAAAAAGTATATCATTAAATATGGTAATTATAAAAAACGGATAGGTGACCAGGATCGTCCACCTCAGAAACCGATTTGGATCGGTAAATCGGTGGTTCGGATCGTCACTTTAATGTCTAGAAAAAATAGTGAACTGGTGAAAAAGTGTGTAAAAACAGTGAATCGGTCAAGAATTGGTTTGGATAAGTAATCAATGTTTTTACTATAGCAAAACGGTGTTTTCACTATAGCAAATTGCCGGTTCTCTTTTAGACCAAGACAGTTTTTGATATATTGATAGAATTGGCACGTGGTGATAGATTCTTGGGTCGAAAAGGACGATTTTGTGCCGACCTGACGATTTTTAAATCATTGATAATTATGGATTGGTCCAAATTTGTGGAAAATATATGCAGTGGTATACTATTATGATGTTTGCACCATTGGAATGGTTCTTTTATTTTGAAGCACCTTACGCTTTTATTTTATTTTATTTGCTATTTTGACCCTTGGTCTGATAATGAAAGCATTGGACTGATTTTTGCATCCTCAGACATTTCTATGCTTTATATTTTATTTTAAAGTGCATAGTTTGATGTTGGAGACATTGAACCGAAATTTTCTTAAAATAACACAAAATTGGATGGTCTGATATCTCTAATGTCAGACCTTCCCAACTACTTACTAATATCTCTACTTTATATAGTTATGTTCCAGTTGTTTCGTTGAACTGCAAATTTTTTGAAGTTTGTTACGCATTTCTTTTATCCTGTGAGCACTCTCATGCTTTTTCAAAATTGAAAGTCTATCTAAGCTTCTAGATTTTAAGAAAATTTCCCCAAATTTTAAAAGTTTTTGTGGTAGAGTGGGGCTTGACAACCTAGGACATAAAAAGCTTGAATGGCGTCATGGGAGTATTCGTTGGGTCGTTTTGGCATTGGAGATATTGGTATACAAAGGTTGACCATTGTCTAAAATACAAAGATTTTGACTTTCCTATAATTACCATATTTAAATATGGTACAGACATAAATTTTCCAAAATATTAACAGGTTCAGGGGGATTGTTTTCGAACCTTTTTTTATGGATGTGGATGTTTTATGTGTACAGACATAATATCCACATTCACTCGATGAGGTTGAATGCGGATCCTTTATATGTTGTTGGTTTTATATTAAAGTAAAGTGATTTTTTCAAGATACATTTAAGATATTTCCTGTTTAAAATTTTACCCATAGAACAATGGTGGCTCTACAATGTTTCACATTTAGGATGGAGAGGTCGGGACTGGCACGTATATACTGGAGTCAGCCTTTACAGACATAGGCCTCTTCGGCTTTCTACCTCTGAGGCGGCCTTTGAGCATAACTTTCGTGAGTGATAATGCTCGTTTTTTCACCTTCACCGTGATTACGACTCGATTATGGACCTTCCTACCCTCGGGATAGGGCATAGGCCATGTTATGGGACATAGGGGAGGCTTGCTTTTATGCAATGTTTAAAAGATTGACCGATTTTTTTAAAAAAAATTGGCCGATTAATTCGGGAATGGCTGATCTCGATTTGGCCCTATTCCAACGGTTATGTATGCAGGATTTTTTTTTTAGTACACCAATCGGATGATTAATTGGACTAATTGGCTATTTGTTCAAAAAATCGGCCTATAAGTGTTTGCAAAGCTGTTCTTATAACATTTTTTATATATTTCTCTTTCTTTTTTTTTTCTATTCATTTATTTTTCTACTTAAAACTTTATATATTATTACAAATTCTTTCTTAGCTAACTGCAAGGTTTGCCGCCTTGGGCAAATAGACCCAGATGCATCAGAGTTGGTCGGGCGCAACAAAGTGCCAAGCCTATAAGTCCCTCAACTCGGGGGGATATAAAATGTATTTGTTGTTGATCTGATTTGATCTTCCATCTAATACCTACACTACCTACCCTCGAGGGGCACACATAAATGAGAGAGGGAAAAAGTTTATATAAGGATGCAACCTTATAATGTAGTACTACGAATGCATTTCAAAAATCCATCGGAAGAGGTAGTTTTAATGTTGAAAAACCCTTTGATTAATCATCTCGACATCGAGATGTATGTCCAAGAAAAATAAATAGATTTTAAGTCTCATAAATAGTGTATTTTACAACATATTATCTATACCGTCCATTTTCAAGATTTTCATATGTTTATTGATCTACTTGATTTTAACCATTTTTAAAATTTAAAATTTTATAATTAAATATAAAAATATATTTTGAGATAATCCTAAAAAATCCATCGAAAAATGTTGTTTTAATGTTGAAAAACCCTTTAATTGATCATTTCGACATTGAGATGTATGAATATAAAGGAAAAAAAAAGATTTTGAATTTCAGAAATAGTGCATCTTGCAATACATTATCTAGACCATCTATTTTCATATGCTTATATATCTACTTGATTTTAACCATTTTTGGAGTTTGAAATTTTTTAATTAGAGATGAAAATAGATTTTCAGATAATCTTAAGAATTTTTTACAACAAAATTATATGTTATGATAAAATTTGGAGGTGCACCTTAATTGGATTATTTAAGGTTGCAACTTTATACAAACTGCACCCATTTTTAATTGAATTCCAAAATACCCAAAAAAACAAGCATGGCCTTGAGATGAAATATTATACTAATTTATAATATTATATCATATTATATATTATATATTTATATTTACTTTATGAATAATATTTGTATATATTAATAATATATTGATCACTAAAAAAGTATTGCATTAGGTGCCTAATCATTTTGTTTGAAACCCAATTATGCTTATAATTATTATTATTATTATTATTATTATTATTATTATTATTATTATTATTATTATTATGTGACAATATAAAAAAACAATACATGTAAATTTCAAACATTCGTTTACAATTTTTTTGGGATATTTTTTTTATTTCTAGAGTTTTTTAAAACTTTTTTACCAAAATTGTATTTTTTAAAAAAATTCAGAGGCACTAATCAGCCGATCTAGTCCGAATCGGTCGTACTAATCGTCTTATGTGGACATAGGGCATGTTATGGAATGACTTATGTGAACCTCAAACAATGGTGGCTCTGCAAAAGTCCTTGTGTTGCCCCCCTGTTTATTAGCCGTGGGAATTGCTTCGGGTTGACCCGTGGGTGGATCCAACAAGTCAACTCGACCAGTCAGGACCTAGATAATAGATCCGGGTTGAGCTTAGGTCTATTTGACCTTGACCCGACTAAATCTAGTTACCCAAGTTGGATTCTATCGGGTCTTTGGGTTGAGGCCAACCGAACTGGCCTGAGCCGAATATATTACATATAAGTAATACTAGTTAGATTTTATAAAATATATATAAAAGAATGTATATATTTTCTATCTATAGAGCCGGGCCAAACCCAGCCTGCACATCAGGTTCGGTTCCAATTGACTTTGACCCGAACTTGGTCCGAGTCTTACTTAAACCTTATCGTGTCAGGAATGGGTCAGCGTTGTCCAATCAATATTGGATTATCTTTTTGCATGAGCTTGTATGAATTAGCATGTGTCGGAAGACATAAATTTTCTTTTTCTTTTTTTTTTCTTTTTTTTTTCAATGAAAAGGAGTTTTGTTCTTAACATTTATTTTGACACCTAAAGCTAGGGTTTTAAAAACATCAATCCAAATTCGAATCACTTGATTTAGATCAGATTTAGGGGGCTGGTCTGCTTCCTTATACATATCGAAACTGTGATTCACGATAGGAATTTGCTGGTTCTTAGGTAGAATAAGGTCAACCTAGCCCCACTTTAGTTTTAATTATTTTTTATTTTTTATTTTTTATTTTTCCTTAAGTTTTTATTTCCTCATTGGCATTCTATCATCCCGAGCGCCACTCCTGATCGGTGATTTTAAGATCAAGACCCATATCCCGGATGGCCCTTTCGAGTCATAGTTCGGGGTCTCAAACATTGCTTAATGCTATAAACCCGGATCCCTCGACCGACAGTTCATATCATGTAAAACAGTATAACAAAAATCAAAAGCTGCACTGTTGCGAAGGCTTCGTATCAAAATTTTGAAAGGCTTCACAAGCAAATATCAGAGCAAAGATACATGAACAAAAATTTTGCATCTTGTTATCGTTGCACAAAGATTGATTTTGTCACTTTTCTTTTTGAATTATCATTTGCGATGCCCCTTTGATTAAAGGAAAAGGTTCATAAAATTCATCAATGGTATACTATAATAGTAGGGGTGGTAATGGACCCGGACCTGGGTTGGGTCCGTGTATGGTTCCAATAATTTTACCCGGGTCCGGGTCCGGATCCAAGTCCAAATATTGGACTCGAACACTATTGGGTCCTGGTCCATGTGGACATGACCCGGATCCAACCCGACCCGTTGATACCCCTATATAATAAAAAGACATACCCAAGAAATTTATTGGAAAATATTGCCTCAATGTGAGGAAATTCTTTAATTAATCATCTCAAGCTCAAGTTGTATGATTATAGAAAAAATAAAAAGGATTTTGAGTCTTAAAAATAGTTTTAACTTGTTGACTTGTATCGTATTATTTAAACCATCCACTTTTAAGGTTTTCAGTTGTTTATAGATCTGCAATTCTATTTCAATTTTGGAGCTTCCAATTTTATAATTTGAGCATCTTAGTAATTTCCAACACTAGTGTTGGAATGCAATTTACTTTTTTTTATTGTTTGAGGCTGATATCTTGTATAAACAACTCTTGATTAAAATTGAAGTATGAATAGAAGTATAGAACTTATGTATGGGCTACTTTTTTTAAATGGATTTTGTGTTCTTTATCAGGTGAAAACTGAGACGGTATGCAATACAGAGTCACAAAGGCCGCCCTTGTCAGAGTGTCCTAGAATCGATGGTGAACTTCTATGGTTATATGTACTTGGGGATGGTAGATCTCCTGTAGATACATAATTTATATAAATTTGGTGTACATATTTTACACGTAATTTATATTTAGTTGGGCATAGACATTTAGAAAAGAGAAAAGTTTATATAGAGCTTAGGCTCTAAACAATCAAATTAAAGCCTACCTCAAAACTTTCACTAGAAGAAGTTGTTTTGATGCCCAAACATCATCAAATTGATCATCCCAACATCAAGATGCATGTAAATGATAAAAAATTGGATTTCAAGTTTTGAAAATAGTGATCTTGTAACGCATTTTTGGACTGTCAATTTTTAAGATTTTAAAGTTTTCATAGATCTGCTCGATCTACATTATTTTTTAAGCTTTAAATATTGTAACTAAAGATGAATATATAATTTAGGGTTATCACAAAACTTTTCAATATTGAAACCGTATTTCTCGACGCTATTTGAAGGCAGGCTCTAATTTGATTTTTTAGAGCCTCGGCTCTATACATACCACACCCTTTCAAAAATTGCCCTCCTGGGTAGGGCGATCCCTGGCCTTGGCCCTTGTAGGGCCAGCCGCATTGGACTGGGTTGGCCCTAGCCTTATCAAGGTCAGACTAGGCAAGTCCAGGCAACTTAATTAACGAGGAAAGGAAGAAAAAAAAAAAAAAAAAGGTTGGCCTGGCCCAAACCCTAAAAGAGCCCCGGCCCAAGCCGGACCAGCCCTACCCTCAGGAGCTGCTGCGCAGGCCGGACGAGGCGACAAGCTCATTGGCAGCCCGAATGTCGCCCGCAAGGGCGTGCACTTGCTTTTGTAGGTCTGTAATTAATGTGACATTGTTTTTGTTTGAAGGTTGCTTATACGATTAAGATTGTACTAATCCCCAACACATATATTGTAGGGATATTTGTGAAAGGGAGGGTATTGCCTATAAAAAAAAAAAACTATATATTATTTTTAATAATATCTTTTTGTTTACTTTCAAAATACCCATAAAAACACTTGATCATGAGCTGGAGAACGGGAGAAGTTACAAATGGGTAAATGTTGAATTGATCTCTTAGAAGTATTTCAATAAATTTACCAAAATTATTTGTACAACTCGTTTTCAAAAGGGAAATATTCGCCAATATTTCCTATTTTCCTGGAATTAAGAATATATCCTTCATATGTTTTAATGTACACTGATGTCCCCAATTCTCAAAATCCCTCTTCCAAAATACCTTTGGTTCGGACTTACAATATCCGTACGAATCTATTGAGAAATTGATTCAAAAATTAAAATTACATGTGAACCAGCTTGTTTAGATTTTTCAATACCGAACTACTTTACTTGAATTTTGGCTTTGGAAATTCAAAATCCGAACTTATCCTTTCACTTATTTTTTTAAAATTTGATCCTCTATCCCTCTCTCTCTTTTTCACTTGTTAAAACCAGCCAGAATTTCAAAATCTGGATTGATAATTTCACAAAACATTAGTTTGCAATTTCATATTTAGGGTATAAATTTGTAGTTCCTAAGAAGGATACTAACTTAAATTCCTTTTTAAATAATAAAGCGCATGTATACTATGCTCCTGCTTCACGCAAAACACCCAAGTCTAAAAAATTTTCAACCACGTAAGAATTATTAGATGATTGTTTTCCAAATAACTTTTAAATTTTGAGTTTTATGACGCTACTTTAAAAATTGAACAGTATCTATTCAATCTTTATGTTTCTTTTTTTTTTTTAAGTACATAGAGATTTTACTTTGGAATTATTATATTAAGATTAATTTATGGTTTGAGCTTTGTAGAGATTATATCCATAAAATTTGGGATATAAAAAATACTCCTAAGCATGTTTTGTAGTACATGGATAGTATACACCCGGAGTAGGAAACATTTGGGCAATAATGAAAACCTTTTCATTATTAAAAGAAGCAAAAAGAAACCATATCTTCCAAAATTTATAATGGAAACCTCTTGTGTACAAAAGCCAACCTTTGACGATTAGAGAGAAAGATGAATGTATTGTTAGAGAGAGAAACATGCTTTTCTCTCTCATGCCAAGAAGGAGCCCGAGCTCCTCCTCGTCTCCCACACTTGAATTTCTTCACTCCCTTCCCTACTCAAAAACAATCTCTCACCACCACATTCTATCCCTGTAATCACACCTCTTGATTCTCTCTCTACAAAATTACGCCTAAAAGCTTTTTCAGGCAACGTTTCTCTCTCTAGAAGTCTTTCGGGTACAGTTTCTCTCTCTAAGTGTTCAGTGCCTGGAATCTTGCACCATGCCTCTAATCCACTCTCTTTGCTGCAAAAGACTTGCTCATTGTAACAATGAATCAAACTGCCATGGCCTCCTCCTGAATTTTTTAGACTTGGATTGCTTTCTTCTAAATAAATCCATGGATCCCCAGATCCCAAATTCCTTAGATCTGCCATTGCAATGTCTCCTGTAAATTTAAGAATAAAAAGAATGAAAAATGCATTTTTTATAGGAATTGACAAAATTAAATGGATGAGAAAATGCAAGAAGTACGAAATAAATGACATTTTAGAGTGGGATAAAATATGTTTAAATAGAGAGTTTAATTTCTGCTGAAAACTTCGGATGAAAGCTTGGAGCTTTGCCAAAATGCAAGAATTCCGTGATTATACAGCAAAATTTATTTTTGAACATTTTGCCTCCAAATATCAAATGAAATTCGCTAAAATTTCAAACCTCTCTCTCTACCCACCTGATTTTGAGCACACCTTGAACATGGCACCCAGTACTTCATCTGCATCCACATCCGCCATTGTATCCCCAAACCTCCCACTCCTCCCTGAACCAGGCTCAATCCATTCCCAAACCACCCCTCCACTCCTCAAATCCCACAACCTCACATACCCACTGTGACCAAACGCACCAGAGGTCACTGATACAACCATCAAAGCCCCAAATTCCTTCAAAAACCTCAGCTTCATGGCTGCCATGGCCTTTGCAGAGCTTCCCCCTTGCCTCCCTATCTCTGAAACCACCTTCAAACTCGATTGGTCGACCGATAATATGCAGTTCTCTCTGTGTCTGCATTCGAAAGAGGCGAAAACATTAGTTTCGGATGAATCAATGGCTGTAACACTGGCCTTGAAGATTCTTGGATCAGATGGATCGACCCAATTTACAGAGCCCAAGAATTGACCACCTAAAAGCTGGTAAAAATGGAGGCCTGGGGTTTCTTCTGATCCAATTCCACAAGTCAATGGTGAAATTCTAGAGAGAGAAGAGATTCGATCGATGTGGGTTCGAAAGGTTCCGGAGTGGGAGAGCATGGAATCATAGCCGGTGATCTGGCCATCGTGAGCAACCCACAGAGACCCGTCTCCTGAAGTTGCGAAAACCGCACGAAAACTGCCCTTTTTGGTCTGAAAACCAGAGTTTTCTGGCCAAATTACGGCGACCCGACTCATGTCGAACCCTTGGAGAGGAGGGGGAGCCATGGCCTTCTTGAGAAGAGCTTCGATTCCATAGTATTGGGCTTCTTCCAGGAGCTCTTCCTTGGAGAATTGTAAAGAGAGAGAGGGGAGGCGGCCAGTACGGAGGAGAGAAAGGAGGAGAGAGAAAATTTGGGGGTCTCTGTCAATGAAGATTGGGGAGGTGAGGATTGTAGAGAGAGAAAAGAGGAGAGAGTCGGGGCCTCCTCGTTGAAGAGTGGAAGGCGTGGTTTCGAAGAGTTGGCCGCCTACGTTGAGCTTCAGGGGGCGGTTGTTATTGGCAGGTTGCTCTGAAATTAGGGTTTCGAAGGGGTTGAGCCGGTTGTCAAGAGAATTGGACATTTGGGTTTAGAGCGAGAGAGATAAGCAGAAAGAGGATGGGAAGCGAGTTAGAGGTGGTTAGAGAGAAAGAGTTTGGGTAAGAGAGAAACTCCGATGAGAGAGAGAGAGAGAGACAGAGACTTTGGGTCAGAGAAACTCCGATGAGAGAGAGATTTTGGGTAAGAGAGAAACTCTGATGAGAGAGAGAGAGAGAGATTGGTTACCAGAGAGAAACTCCGATGAGAGTGAGATTTTGGGGAAGAGAGAAAGACTCCAGTGAGTGAAAGGGAGAGAGGGGACTCCGAAGAGCGAGGAACTTGATGGGATTTGGAGGTTTTGAGGTAGGCCAGAGAGAGGGGGGGGAGAGAGATGGGACTGGATTTAGGGAATTAACGATCCGTTTCCTAGAGAGAGGATGACACTACATTTAGGGGATCACCAGTGTTTAATTAAGAGAGAGAGAGAGAGAGATAGAGGGGTTAGAGAGTGGGGGTGGGGGGGCGTTCAGAGATTGAAGGG